GGGCTTGAAAGGGTTTCACAAGGTCATCTAGTCCAACCCCCAGCTCAGGGCAAGATCATCCCTAAAGAAATCATCTCTGCCAAGTGTCTTAACCTGCTCTGGAAAATTTCCAGGAATGGAGATACAACTTCTCTAGGTAGGCAGCCTGTGTCAATGCTTGACCATCCCCAGTCAGAAAGCTCCTCCTCATCTCCAGCCTAAATTTCCTCTGATGCGGTTTGAATCCATTGCTCCTAGTCTTGTCCCCTATGGCCACAGAGAAAAGGCCATCTCCATCCTCTCTGTAATCACCCTTCAGGGATTTGAAGACTCTGATCAAACCTGCCCTCAGTCTTCTCTTCTCCTGACTAAAAGACCTTACCTCTTTCAGCCTTTCCTCATAAATCTTGCTTCCCAGGCCCCCAATCATTTTTGTTGCCTTGGGCTGGACTCTTCCCAATCTGTCCAGTGCAGGGCCCAAAACTGGACACAGGGCTCCCGGTGAGGCCTCTCCAGAGCTGAATAAAGTGGTAGAATCACTTCCCTTGATTTGCAAGGGACACTCTGGTCAATACAACCCAGGATGCTGTTGGTCTTTTTTGCAACAAGAGCAAACTTGGCTCATTGTCAGCTTATGGTTCACCATAATGCCCAGGTCCTTCTCTGCAGGACTGCAACGTAGCTGGTCATTCCCCAGTCTGCATTTGCACGTGCAATTCCAAGTGCAGGACTTTGCACTTCTTGTTGAATCTCATCTGATTGATTACAGACCATTTTTCCAGTCTAGTATCTAGGTCATTTTGGAGCTTGGTCCTGCCCTCCGCAGTGTCTGCAACTCCGCCCAACTCGGTGTCAGCCACAAATTTGCCAAGGGCATACTCAATCCCATTGTCCAAATCTTTAATAAAAATATCAAACAATACCAGACGCAAGACAGAAACCACTTGACACCTCCTCCCAACTAGACATTGAGTCATTAAGGACTACTCGTTGAGCATGATCATCTGACCACCTATGTATCCACCTTGCAATACTTTCATCCAGTCTGTATTTCCTTAGCTTGTCAATGAGAACATTGTGGAGACTGCATCAAAAGCCTTGCTGAAGTCAAGGTCTATCACATCTGGTTGTTCCTGATCACCTTGGTCTACTCTATATGCTTCACAGTAGATTCCTTAAGGACCTGCTCCATCTTCAGATGGTGTAAATCAGTGCTATATTAAAGCAATGTGTGCCCATCAAGTGGCACTTGCCCCAGTGCAGAGGCCCAGCCAAAATCTAATGCATTACTATAGGGCAAAGGCTTTCTAAGGAGGGATGAATTAATCAATGGGCCAAAACGCCCACTGCTGCGATCGGCCGGGTTACACTAGCCGAGGATCTGATCCGGGCTCCTTTGGGACATGTGTGCTCACCATCGCTCATGAGTGATGGAGAGGTCAATTCTTCAGGGTGTTTTTCCTCCCGGTAGCTTGATCGTTTCATATCTATTCACACTGATGTATTTCCTGCCTCTTGACAGTAACATGACAGAACAGGTGAGGCGTCTGCCTTCCAAATGCACTCGCTCCTCCACTTTGACATAATCTTGGCAAGGGAGGCCTGACAAAACACCACTCCTGGAAAAACAGACGATGCCCCCCACCCCGAGAGGATACTCAAAGCAGGAATAGAAAGAGCCTAGTTGTAAGGCTGCCTGCTAGTACCCTTTTTCCTGGGTGGGTGTGAACAGAAGGAAAGAGGAAAACTATGGGGAGGGGGGGGGGGGGGGGGGGGGCCC